GGCGGGCGCCCTGGCCCAGGGGCCGCGGGCGCAGGAGCCCGGCGAGGTCCAGCTGGGCGGCGGCGCCGGAGGAGCAGAGGGAGGAGGGGAAGCCGTAGGCGAGAGGAGCGTGTTTGGGGCGCCGCGGCAGGGAGGGTGGCGGCCGCCGGTGCGCGCGGGGCGCTGTGTGTGCGCGCTCTCCTGCTCGGGGAGGAAGATGGCCCAGAAGGGAAAGTTGGGGTGACGCGCGCAGCCCCCGGAGGCTCGGCGGGGGCCGCCGCGGCGAGTCCGACGGAGGGGCGGCCAGGCAGGTCGGGGGGCGCGCAGTTCGGGTGCCTCCTCCGCCGCCGAGGCGCCCGCCCCCTCACTGCAGGTGGCCGTGGGTGCCCTGGGTCCGGGCGGCCAGGGGCGCGGGCGGGCGCGCGGGGAAGCCCGGCCGAGGGATGGGCTGTGCCCCCAGCATCCACGTCTCGCAGAGCGGCGTGATCTACTGCCGGGACTCTGACGAGTCCAACTCGCCCCGCCAGACCACCAGCGTGTCGCAGGGCCCCGCCGCCCCCCTGCACGGCCTCTTCGTCCAGACCGACGCCGCCGACGTTATTCCCCGGAGCCGCGCGTCTGGACCCCCCGGGGCCGCCCGCGTCCGCAGAGCCCGCACTGAGCTGGGCAGCGGCGGCAGCAGCGGCAGCAGCAGCGCGGGCTCCGCAGCCCCCGCCACGACCACCTGCAGGGGCCGGAGGCGCCACTGCTGCAGCAGCGCGGAGGCCGAGACCCAGACCAGCTACACCAGCGTCAAGGTAAACGTCTCAGGCTGGTGGGGGGCCGCCCGCCCCGTCCGGGCGGGGCTAGCACGAGTAGGGGGCTCCGGCGGAGTTGAGTGGCCGTGACGCGGTTGGTTTGGGAGGTTGTCACTAAGGAGGAGTTTACTTTAAATGTGTGGGAGCGATGGGGGCCTGGGAAATGTGAGCAGAAGAGACCCCTGGAGGGGTCCTGGGAGCTGGTTCTGGGGGACCGGGTGGAGAAGAGAGCGCGGTGGGAAGCTGGTGGGTTGGCCGATTTCTCATTGAGGGCCGGAAGGCTGTGGCTCCGTTAACTCAGGAGGTGGGGTGGATATCATTGAGAGCATTGGGTGGCGAGTCTGACTGAATGAAATCTGAGCACGGGGCTGGATTTGTCTGCCCTGCAGGTGAATGGTGCAGCCCCGGTGCAAGGATACGATAGTGCCTCGTATTCAGCGTTTCACCTGGGAAGGCCAGCCAAGCTGCACGGAGTCTTAGCCACAGGGATCGAGTGTGGGGATTTGTGAATGAATAAGGGTGCTTGTGTTTTGTGGAGAGACATAGGAAGGGAATAGAGGAAGGAGACTAGAGTGAGACCTGTTCTTTGTCACTTCTTGGGGATGGCTGCATCCTGGACATAATTGGGTGAACCTGGCTGTGAGTTTGGAGGGTCAGCTGAGCTACAGTGAGGGGAAGTGGCTTCCAGCGCAGTGCAGCTGTCTGAAGACGAAGATTCTGAACATGCATTTCATCTAACAGGAGAGTGGAATTTTGAGGAAGTGGAAAAAATTGTTTAAATGATTAAAGCAGTCACTAGCGATTTCTTTAATGACAGAAGAAAAGCGATTGTTTTAATAGGCCCACCTGTTCTCAAAATACTGTTAAATTCAAGAGGGTTTTAATTGTGTAAATCTGGCCACTGGGCCTTTTATCATTGTAGCAAACAGAATGACAATGACACATCCCGTTGTGCAAAGGAAAAAAAATACATCTCTATGATTGGTCATGTTACTTAGAATCGCAGCTTTTACATGGGCAATTGATTACTAGAAACCGTTACAAGGATTATTTGAGAAAGACACAATTGTATGTTTGACACTTGAGAAGTTCAACAGTTGGCCTAGTGTGAGTAGGCTCCTAGTCTTGATTGGATAAAGCCAGCCTTCAGTGGAAGGGTGAAGAGTGCCATGTAGGGTTTCAGTCTGGGAGACCAAAAGCTTCTTTTAGTGAACTTACCGTAACAGCATCTGATTTTGAACACGAAGCTTAACCAGATTTATTTATAGTTGTGGTATTTCTCTGGTAATAGTCACATAATATGATAATATGATAATTACTATAATGAAAATGCCGTTTATTGAGTACCTACGGTGTACCAGGTATAAGCTTTCTCTTCTAGCTCTTGAATATTAACTGTATGATGACAGAATATCCAAAGACTGGAGACCTGGATTCATGACAGTACAACTTATCAGTTGAATATTTGTTATAGAGGCATGTGCTGAACACCATATTTTTCTTTTGTTAAGCTTCCCTCCCTCCGCCCACTGGTTCATGGGGTGGGGGGAGGGCATCAGCAATGTAATGGGATTAAAATGTTATATTTGGTGAAATAATTAAATAGGGATATTATTTTAAAAAATAGCCTTTTGGGGTGCCTGGGTGGCTCAGTCAGTTGGGCTTTCGACTGACTCAGGTCGTGATCTCATGGTTTGTGGGTTCGAGCCCCGCGTTGTACTCTGTACTGACAACTCAGAACCTGGAGCCTATTTTGGATTCTGTGTTTCCTCCTGTCTCTGCCCCTCCCCTGCTTGCGTTCTGTGTGTCTCTGTCGAAAATAAATAAACCTTAAAAGAAAAAATTATTTAATAGCTTTTGATTTCTCGTTGAACAGGAAATTCGAAGATATGAAGTAGTTCAGACTGGTGACAACTTATGAACTCCGTGATCATTTTTTGGTTGTGTAAGCAAAAATGTATATTTTTGCCTTTTAGAGTAGCAAGAATCCCAATTTACTACCTGGCAACTTTAGCTATTCCATGTTTGTTTATTGAAAGAATAATGAATGAATTCACTCTCCAAGTTTTAATACTTCCCTCAAGAGGATCCTTAGCAAATGGAGTAAAAACTGGAGGGAAAAGGAGTCCCCATTGTTAGCAGCTAGTATAAACTTGTAGAAATATCATTGCTGCTTGACTGAAGTGTTAAAGGCTTGACCTGAATAGGAATTTAACTCACATTGCTTTATCAACAGGATTTCCAAAGAAGAGCTTAATTAAGTCCAACCCTTTACTAAGAATGCTGGGAATGAAACTGCTGGTTCAGTAATTCAATGCTAAGTTGCATGTGTAGATCTCAGAAACTATATATTTGAAATTAAGTTTGAGACCAGAGTTACTATTTTACACAAATCATAAATAATTATTATCACAGACTTGCTTTAGTATATTTAGTAGTATTCTTTTGGGACTTGTGACTCAATGTAGTATTATCTTTTCCAATATTCACGTGTTCCATACTCTTGTGGATGAGTTAATTTTATAAAAACTTTACTTCCATTTTTTTTTTTTAGAATAAGAATTCTTCTGCCTTAACAGTTTGAGATAGTTGCTCGTCATGCCTCCCCTCCCCCTTTTCCTAAATGCTCAGGTGGAAAAATAAAGTCTTTGCCATTTGGTCCTATTTACAGTGGTAGTGGGTTGTCATAGTTTATTTTATTTTTTTTTAATTTCCCCTTTGTACATCACTTCCAAACCATATTCTCATTATCTGCTTGGTCTCTGGTCTATTCCCCAGAGTGCGAAAATGTGTGCTGGATCTCTCTCTCTCCCTTTTCTAGCAATAATTCATCTCATTAAGCTTTTAGAATGATGAAGCATTATGATGTCAAACATGATGTCAACAGGAACCTTCCTGAATACCTAATTTATTAAAAAAATTACAAGCATTAATAATTCATTATGCAGTACAGTGATATCATATGGGTTTCCATTTCTGGTAAGAAGTTAGATTTGTCTCCCAATTGCTGTAAAAATGCAACTTCTGTGTAATTTGTCTCCCTCTGGTTTGCCTTTTTAAAAATAGTACTCCAGCAGGAGACGGCTGCAGAATGCCCGCTCCTCATACTGTACCAGTTGTCTAATTCTTGTTCAGAATTCCTGAGGAGATGGTCGAACCTGTCCCTGAGAAGATCAGGTGGTTCTTGTAAGTCTTCTTTTCTCATACCAGCTGCTGCAGCTGGGAGGCAGGCAGGACGAAGCAGCCAGTTACAACTGTCTGCCTTGACAGTATAGTCAACTTGCAGCTGTCTCTGGGTGGGTTAACTATTGTGGATCAGGTGCAGGACCTTGTTAGTTTCCAAATGATTCTGTGTTGATAGGCAGCATCACCAACTCCCTTTTTTTCCTTTATTCATCATGCTCATTTATTCACTCAGCCAGTGTTGGTGCCGGGGATTCAGTGAATATCTGTGAACTTTGGTAAGCAGAGCCTAACGCGGATTCTTTTAAGAGGGTGTGCCTGAGTCACTAACGACTTCTATGTTACCCATCCCATGGCTTTCTGAATCAGTGAGGGCAAACCCAAATTGATTGTATATAAAAGGAAAAATATTTTTCTGACCTTATGATAATTAATAAAAACTAATAATTTTGGTAGTTATTTGGGGGAGGGATAAACCATTTTGAAAAAGTCATTTTTGTTCTCTAAGTATTCTTTAGTGTATATCAGAATCACCTGGAAGGCTTGTTAAAATGTGGATTGCTTGGCCCCATTCCCAGAGTTTCTGATTTACTAGGCCTTGGGTAAGCCCTGACAATTTGGATTTTTTTTAATTTAAATTGTAGTTAACATACAGTGAAATACTGGTTTTATGAGTAGAATCAGTGATTCATCACTTATAACACCCAGTGCTCATCCCAACAGGTGCCTTTCTTAATACCATCACCAGTCTAGGCCATCCCCCCACCCACCTCCCTCCATCAACCCTCAGTTTGTTCTCTATCATTAAGAGTCTCTTGTGGTTTATTTCCCTCTCTTCTCTCCGACCTCCCTTCCCATGTGTTCATCTGATTTGTTTCTTAAATTGCACATATGAGTGAAATCATGGTATTTGTCTTTCTCTGATTGACTTCTTTTGCTTAGCATAATACGTTCTAGCTCCATCCACATCATTGCAGATTGCAAGATTTCATTCTTTTTGATGGTTGAGTAATATTCTGTTATGTGTGTGTGTGTGGCTGTGTGTGTCCCCCACATCTTCTTTATCCATTTATTAGTCAGTGGACCTTTGGGCTCTTTACATAGTTTAGCTGTTGTTGATAACGCTGCTGTAAACAGTGGGGTGCATGTACCCCTTTGAATCTGTATTTTTGTATCATGTGGTAAATTCCTTTTTTTAAATTTTTAAATTTTTTAATTTTTTTTTCAATATATGAAATCGTGGTAAATTCCTAATAGTGCAAATGCTGGATTGTTGGGTAGTTCTTTTTAACTTTTTGAGGAACCTCCGTATTGTTCTCCAGAGTGGCTGCTCCAGTTTGCCTTCCCACTAACAGTGCAAGAAGGTTCCCCTTTCTCTGAATCCTCACCAACACCTATTGTTTCTTGTGTTACTAATTTTAGCCATGCTGATGGGTGGGAGGTGGTATCTCATTGTGGTTTTGATTTGCATTTCTTTGATGATGAGTGAATGTTGAGCATCTTTTCATGTGTCTGTTGGCTACCTGGATGTCTTCTTTGGAAAAATGTCTATTCATGTGTTTTGGCCATTTCTTAACTGGGTTGTTTGTTTTGAGTGGTGTTGAGTTATGTTCTTTATAGATTTTGGATACTAACTCTTCATCAAATATGTCATTGCAAATATATTCTCCCATTCTGTAGGCTACCTTATTTTGTTCATTGTTTTCTTCACTGTGCATAAGCTTTTCATCTTGATGAGGTCCTAATATTTTAGGTTTGCTTTTGTTTCCCTTGCATTTGGCGATGTGTCTAGTAAGAAATTGCTGAAGCCAAGGTCA